TGTCTGTAGTTACCACGAGTAGTACTCATTTAAATAAAACACGACACTAATTCGTGCGATCAATCGAGTTTTACTGTAATGAAAAACATACGGGCCCAGAAACAATTTCAAATTAAGAATGTAGAACGTATGAGAAGAACTGGCAAAAATCTCGCCGCCTCTCTTTTTATCGCCAAGATTATTTTACAAGACTTTACATTTACAGCAAGTAGAAACTTCGGTATCATTTTATGATTGTTTACTTGGCTAAGACACGAGTATAAAACTCATTTTAAGCATCATCTTGGGTTACATGGCTGTACTTTTATTGCTTTTGGCAAACAACATTATAAGTGTAAGCGTATAAGCTAGATATTCTCATAATTATCTCAATGTAATCTCAGTTACATTACACAATGGTTTTATCAGAACTATCAGGCTATGATTAACAGTTTATTATTATTGTCTATTACATTGGAACGTGGGCCTGTCTGATTGAGGTCAGATGCCGCATAGGAATTGTCTATTTAGAATAATAGGTCATTCATTATGTGTCTAGAATGTATTGTTATTTTTATTTACAATGCAAGAGCTAACCCTTCATTATTAAACTCGATTTAAGTGAAGATACGTGTTGTGTGTTTCGTGGAATCTTTGTTTCTATTTTGGTAGTTACACGAATAACGATATATTCTCAATATGTTTGTCTTCTGTGATGTGTGAATTTTGTGTTCCTATATACCATTAGGTTTGCTTAAACAAAAGAAGACATACATAGCATTAATAGGAAAATTGGCAAAAAGCCGGAATTCACAACATAACGCTTTTTGCTTTTAACCATAACATTTTGTGTGACATTTTCACATTAATATTTCATATTTTCACATTTGTCTGAAATTTTATAATAAATAAAAATATAGTTTTAGGATAAATTATAAAGAAAAGCCTGTACACATTTATACAAATAAAATAATAGTATTAATGGCTTTGTTGAAATATATTGTCTATATAAAGAATACCTTAATACATAAAAATTCTTGATTTTTAATTCAAATATTTCTGAATATAATCCGTCGTATTAGAATGTGTATATAGTTGGTCTAATAGTTAGTATTATCGATAGTAGATCGTTAGCACTGGAAGTAGAATTTTTCAACGATACTAACCTAACCAACACTTAAATTTCCATGAAAGAGACAATCTCATAATATCTTAAAGCAAAAAGTCGGAATTATTTAACAATAAATTAAATATTGCAACTATTTTGTATTATAAAATGGCTTGAATGAATATTAATATTTCATTCCATAATAACAAATTATACTAGAATATTTTAGCAGTTAGAATCAACTGGATATCTCTACTATTATATAAAGCTGAAGAGTTTATTTGTTCGTTTATTTGAACGCGCTAATCTCAGGAACTACTGCTTACAAGTGGGTAAAGTAAACAAAGCGGGGGGGAATTTTTCATCTCTCTGGGTTTCAGATGCGTACCCTGCGAAAACGGTTCACGACACACAAAAAATATGTATGAAAGAATGACTCCTCTTTAAATGATGTAAAAAATGTCTACGACACTATATGTCTACCTTTTGATACAGCTAGGATCTACATAAGTATATGTACAGCAAACACATTAATAAGCATGAAAAAGAAACACGTTGATAATTACGTTACAACAAAAACGAATTAAGGCCGATTAGACAGGGCTGTACTAATCCCATTGGTATTTACGTTGTTGTTAACGTAACACGATTAATATATAATTAACTTTACGAAATTATTAGCTGCTTTGATCCTAGTAATATTTTTGGTATGACCGCAACACCAAGGCTTATATTCGCAGGTTTAAAATAAAGCGATAAAACAGCTTTACGTCTTTTGGTTTCGTTTACAGAATTAAAAGTACGTTTGCGATTTAAGTGTGTGATTTCTGCATTCCTTTTTTATGACAAAGACAGATAAGCAATGGATTAACTTAATAGTAGATGAGATACATACGAAAGCAGGCTGTCGACCTGTTTTGGCTTTGGATATTCAGAAATCCACAGAAAGTAAGAAAAGCGCGGATTTACACTTACACTGAGGACGGTGTTTGGTAACCTGGACCGAATTGTGAAATTCCTACCATCCTTTTAATGTCCAGATTGTCCAGACTATTTCAAATTTTCCATAAATTATAAATATAATAAACAACTTTATTATTTTTTACTTGTTATTGCACATGAAGGCGCTTATAATTTAAAAATCGAAAATAAATTGAAAAATTTTCGACTGGGCAGGACTTGAACCGGCATCGTCAGCGTTCAGTAGACTCGGTAGCTCAATTAGTAGAGCAACAGCACGGAACACTGATGATGCCGGTTCAAGTCCTGCCCGAGTCGAAAATTTTTTTCAATTTATTTTCGATTTTTAAATTATAAAATAAACAACTTAAGTATTACATGTTACTTTTAGATATTTCTCATAATATTATAATGATGTTATTAATTACTGTCTATAGTTTACGCGAGTAGTACACAGTTAAATAAAACACTTTAACGGTTAAAAACGCGATATATTAGTTAAACTTCCGAAACGTCGGGCCGAAGTTAAGTCATTTACAAATAAGTTTAACTAATATATCGCGTTTTTTTTACCCGTTAAAGTGTTTTATTTAAATGATGTTATTGTTAAGAAACGGTATTTCTAACTTCAACGAAAAATACTTACAGAAATTTCTCAAATATTATTGTTGTGGTAAAAGGAAAATCATAACACTCGCTCTCATAAAAAATAAACCTTCAGTTATTTCAAAGGGTAACCTCGTTACCGAGGGATAGCTAAGCAAACAGTTAATTATGTTTAATGTTTTCGTAAACGAGAAGTAAGGTGATACTGGGTAAGTGATTCTTTTACCGTGGGGTGATAGAAAGTATAACAAGGTCCAATATACTTTAGTATTATCTGTAGTTTTCACGAGTAGTTACTAAAAATAGCACTTCTAACGGTTTAAAACGTGATTTTATTTTTTTTTTATACTGGGGAATTTGGCATTCCATTAAGTAAAAGACAATATGTTATAACATTGTCTTTCCAGGTAATAGAATAAATAAACAAACATTTCTACATTATATTCAATATAATTTTTGGTTTTATTAAAAACAAAAAATTAATTCCCTGACGGATTACCGAAACATGAATGAAAAAAAAAATCAGCGCTTGTACGTGAAAATTAATTAATCCTCGAGCTTTTATGGTTTTGCTGATTTGACCGAATATTTTAATCTCATTCGTTGTATTTTTAATCTGATTACGAAAAAATTTAGTGGATACAAAATAGTAGGTACAAAATAAATGCTAGTTTGGTGTATAAAATAACCTACATTTACAGCGCTATTGTAGCGAAACCATTATTTTCAATTCTACTAGACTAGATACGTGGAAGTGAATCGGTCGAAATTATTTTGTTTCTAAACAGTTTAAGTAGAGCAGACATATTTGTGTGCTTGGTGTCTTGATTGATTTTATTTACTTAGATCATAACTCTCATTCTCCGTAATGCGGACTTCCTCACGCTCCTAATACGATGCTAGGTAATGTCTTTTATAACATATTTGCTCGTAAAGTGGTTGTAATTACATCAACTTCAATATCATTACGTACTTGTGCGATAATGTAATGTAAAAGGCACGTGTTTTTTTTAATAAAGTTTTAAGATACTCCGTCTAAAAATGAACGATACTTCTAAAAATCTTAGCAAAGAGGTTTTATGTCAAGAAAGTGGTCAATATTTTATGAATAAAATTAACTTTGGGAAATAAAATATAACAAATAAACATTTAATTCTTTAATTTAATCAATTTTGGCAATAAATTACAACCATCTGTAATAAAAACACAAAAATATTATTTTAATTTATTAGCAACACTGGCTGTTTTTGTACATTTGCCTAAAAAAAAACGATGCGCGCGCATCGCTTATTTTAATGTCGCCATGGTCGTTTAACTAAGTTAGAGTTTTATTAATTTCCTCGTAAATATGTTACAAAACGTCGTATGACATACTTGCGCTTTGAAAATTACAGCCTCTGCTTTCTTATAGTAATATCGCCTCGGCTGTAAACTATATGTACTATAACAACTGAGGTATAGAAAATTCCTTTGTGAGTGACATATATTCACTTTTTCACTCGTGAGTAATTTCCGTAGATAACAGTCCATTTCTTGTGACGGGCCAATATCGCCTACACTCAAATTACACACTTAGGGTACATTGTCCTTCACAGCGAATGATCTCAAGTAATAGTTCAATTTATTTCTTCTACTTATCATGGAGATGCTTTCAATGGTCTAAATTAAGATGCGGGTGTTATGGAAAAATTGGTATCATTTATCGCTTACGTTCATTTTATGTGGGGTGGATGTCAAATGGATAGTTAAGGCAATTTAAATGAATAACAAAATGATGCATTCTACTTAATAACTATTATTCACTCTAATAGACATTGAAATAAAACACTTATAACAGTTAAAGCACGATATATATTTGTTAAACCTATTTATAAATTATTTTAACTATAGCCTTACACACACATTTGGTAAAACAATTCGTGTATTAATAATTTGAGTTTGAAATTCAAGTTCTTTCATTGGTAGATAGCTACAATATCTCCGTTGAACATAGACTATAATAATTTTGGGGACACCTAAAACTCTAATAAAGTAACTACGAAAATTACCAAAGAAGTATTTACATCGGGCGCGCTGCAAAATTCAATATAGATAAAATATAGTAATACAATTTTACAGAACGTATTTTTATCTAACAAAATAGCGCAACAGTATATGTACTACTTACTACAATAGTTATGTTAGTATAAGCGTTCTTTTAATCTTATACTAACTTATTTTCTTACCGTATTAATTAGTAGATTTTCGTTATTCTAACACATAATTGGCCGGTCACGCCCAAGCGAGTTAGGCCTGTACAAATATTGACAACCCTTATCATATGTGCTTAGTTATAATTTCTGACAATATGAGAAGGGGTATTAAAGTACATCTTTACTACAAATGTATATGCCAATATTTAAGAATAAGCAATTTGTTTTCACACTTCAATAAAAAAGCTGAATTTGTGTTTTAAGAAGTTCTCCTCTATTGTAACATAATAAATAAAGCTTAAAAAATTACTAAAATATTAAACTAACTACAATAACTTTATAAAACTACTACATACTACTTTTACTTGTTACTGCCATATATATCAACGTAGGTAAAATGTAAATTAGTCTTCGATAACAAAATAATGGCTTTCGATGCAATATATTTAATATGGTAGCTAATTTGATAATAACAAGCAAAGGCGAAGTCTTTTTGTCTTCGCCTTTGCTTGCACTGGACGTTCCGGGTTTGAATCTTTGGTCGGACAGCATTTAGAAGTCTTATAGACGATTTGTCTATAAATAAAATCAGTTAATGAGAGCGACACAGAAAAATAGCACCCATTCCACTAAACGATTATAAAAATATAATAAACTTTTAATTACTTTTTAAGTTTACTTTTCAAATGTATCGTCCTACAATATTCTCTAACAAAACAGTATACTGTTGTTATAATTTAATTAACATTGTCTAGATGAGTTTGTTGGTATTTTATTAATGTATCATTAACCGGGCCACAGGATCACGCTGGCGTAATTAGGTAAATTGTGTACACATTTTGAATTATAATTTGACTTTCATGTTAAGTATTTCGAACCGACATTTAACAAGAGTTTTACGAGTACGTTTGTTGTTTTCTTTATGTCGGTATTAAATTATTATTAACAAGATTTAAATAATTTTATAGTGGATTTAAGTGTCATTATTTTATTTTTCTTATTATTAATTGAAATTAGACTAATAAAAGATTGTACATACATTTGAGAATCTAAATAAATGATTAAATCTGAGTAAACATTTTTATTTAAAAAAATATATTACAAATTAAAAACAAACCGTGCTTCTTAGAGAACTTTCACTCCTATCACCATTCATTTGGTGGTGACAGACGATAAAGCTCTTCTTCTTCTGCACCAATCTTCACTGGAACAGAGCTGGTGGGTCTAAAAATCCTAAATCATCCCAGAGGTAGGACATTAATAGGTTGAAATGAACACTTTGAATAAAATATCATTTTACATAAACCTATTATTACTAATAAAATTATAGAATAACATTTTATCTATATATTTTATCGTGTAATATCCAATTCTTCCAGTTCTCTTATTTTTGTTTTCTTCTATTAATGCTCATTCAAGCCAGTAAACCTTAACCATTCCAGCGTCCATTAAATACGTATTTCTTTCCCAGCTCTGGCATCAGCACATAAAATCACACAACTCAAGGTCCCACTATATGCGGACCCCCGACGCGCAGCGGAGCTCAGTTGTCACTTCCAAATGGACGAACAGAGACTGCATTCTGTAAAGTGGTACAGAGATATGCACGAAATATTCCGGTACAACCCATCACAAAAGGTATGCATCTTTATATAATTTTAAAACTTAGGAACTATTCGGTCTTTTTTAGAAACAATTTTAACATACAAGTTTTAGTCAAGAGTGGGTTGTCCACAATTATGACAATAACATAAGGGATTTTGATAAAAAAAGAATTAGAGCCGATCTACTCAGATATATACAAGGATTATTGTACTGTATCAGATGACAAAATTGGGCAACAAAAGTTAATCAATCTTAATGTGTTTCATTTAAATTAAACACTTTTAAACGGTTTAAGACTATATATTTTACATACATATATATAAAAAAAAAGATTAATTTACATTAAACCCTTTTTAACATATATATATAACTAATTTTTTTATTACCTTAACTACGGCCTTTTAGTTCTAAAAAAAGGGTTAAGTTAACATTTGCGTTTTAAACCGTTATATAGCAAACCACTCTGTTGTATATCATCGTTTTTCGGGCTGTGACGTAAGCGAGAAGAGAACGACGTTTCGCCATCACGAGCGGATGCCAACATCAGGCAAGGATCCTCGATTACTCGAAGAATTACGCCCGAAAAACTATGATATGCTGAACGATGGCGTTGAAAGCCTTACACAATTTATTACTCTGTAGTACTTTGTGTTGTGTGTAGCAAGGTTAATTCGTAAAAAAATACCCTATATAACTTTACCAACAGCCACCAATCCGCCTCTTCAATGTAACTGGTATCATGGTGCAAGGAGGGGAGTGTCAAGTGGACTCCTGCATGGTACGAGTCATGCCGCCTCCCGTTGCAGCCAGGGCGGCCTACAGTTGTGAAGTTTCGACCGAAGGACCCAAGTTTCAGATAGCGAGACAAACAAAGCACATGACAGTCGTCGGTTAGTTTGCTTTGTCTTTGCAACGTCCCAATATGCCCGCAGGTATTACTCATCGATGTACATCCGCCTTCGATTAATATAACATGCCATATTCAGTTCCTTTGAGACTTCAAATGACGACAAATGGCTTTCAATAAGATCGAAATATTATAATGAGCTTACTCATTGCTATAGCTTAAAAGCTTGGTGTTTATGCTATATTAATTATGTATACCACTATTTAGATCGAATCGAATTAAAAAGCTATTTAGATGATTAAAAAAAAACAAAGACACAGCGCCCTCTAACCAATTGAACAATCGTTCGTCGTAAATACGTAAGTGGTAATATTTTGTTCTGTACGGAGTAAGCAACAATATTGTTACTGGCTTTTTGTTTGTATTTACAAGATAAAACTAGAATAAAAAAGAGGTTGAATAAAAAATTGAAAAGGTTGGTTCTGATTTTATAGCCAACTGACAATATGTAACCTCTTTTGAATACATATTCAATTTATTATCATATGAAAGGTAAAATATTTTTAAAATATTCATTGGATTAAGAAATCAACGGTAGTAAAAACAAAAGTAGGTATTTTAAAATTAAGTATGTATGTTTGATCAGGTTTCTGTCTTGCGCGAATAAAACTATTTTTTTTTATGATTGCAGACAGACAAGTATGTCAATAAGTAGGTTTCCTTGATGGTAGGTGATATACCATACCATGCCATATAACATCTAAACAAAACACGCTGTCGACCTATTTTGGCTTCGGATATTCGTCTATCCACAGACTGAAACCGAACTGCAATTGAACTTGCTTTTTAATCTGTGGACACGAACGGACTCGGACGGAATTTCGATATTCCTATCTATCCTTTTAATATCCAGATTTCCAGACAAATGTCCAACAAATGACAGAAAATGTTTAAATTGATTATTCGCCATACATTGCTATATTACTGCATTACATCAACCACAGCCCGCCATATTATCCTTTTCTCAAGACCTCTCGCGTTTAAACTATTTAGTTACACTGACGAAAATGTATGTATAAGTAGTATTAAATGACGCCATTCCTCATCTCGTAATACGATTTTCAGGCACTTCCCATAACGTTTCACACGAGGATAATCTGGAACATTCCAGTTTCCTTATAATTCGGTTCACGTCGTATGTAATGTACATCATATCTCCTGAACGTGTTATCTTGATTTATTCAAATGTATTCTAACATTATATATCTTCCAGCGATGCCGGACAGAGACCCCATCATAATTGGGGCTCCGAAATTAGTGAAGCCGGGAGAACAAATATTGCTTAATTGTACGTCTGACTACTCGCTGCCTCCCTCCGATATCAATTGGTACATTGACAACGAACTACAAAAGGTACAGCATTCTAATCAATTACAATACACCGGTATTGCAATTTAACTATATTTATTAAATTTTAAGGTTTAAAACGTGAAATGTATAAGTTGATTTTTTTTAACTAACGGCCCGAGGTTCCGGATTCCTTTAGTAGTCGTCACAACTAATACATTCCGCGTTTGAAACTCTTAAAAGCGATATAATTATATTAAATACAATTCGTTGCATGATTTCATTTATTATGTGTACAATAACATTCTTCAATCAATACTATTTTTTTAGAAGGAACATTAATTTTAGCTAAAATAACGACTAGGTACTTTATTCTAAAATTAATTAATTAAACGTTACTATTTAAAAGTTACTGTGTAATGTAATTAAGCAAATAGAATACTGAGAAAAAAGTGAAAACACCATATATATAATAAGCTACAGTAGCTAAATAAACGGATTGAAACGGGAAATATATTACATTTATTGTTAAAGGCTAGCCGGCCGTGATCAGAACTGCTACGTATCCGAAGCGTCGTGTGTTCGAATATTTTTAAAAAAGTTAAAAAAGTATTTATTTATTATATTTTATTAAATTACAAGTTGTTACTATTATATTTATAATTTCTTGTATTTACTAGTTAGTATATATTAGTATATATATAAGTATTTTCGTTTATAGGTTACTTATGTTTTAGAGATTGTTAGCAATAGTAATGTGGCAGAAAACTAATATTGCCTGTCTTGTAATTGCTCGTCCTGTAATTCTCATACTCCTGAATGGTTGCATTCAGCCGATGGCCTAACTCGAGCTAACAGTTTGCTCTCATGCTCCCTAATGGAATCAGGAATCCAATCTATTTGGATTAGGCACTATCAATTACAGCGATTGAGTTTCTCCGATTTATTGGGCTAATTGATACTAACGAACGTTTAATTATATCTGTGGTCCCTTTTTAGTCTTATGTTAGTGAGGGGATAATAACCGGATAACTCGCGCGGGAATAAAAAAACAACTGACATATAACAAACCCAAAAGAATATAGATAATTAATTCTACGGTTCGAATATATTATTTTTATCTGTCTTTTTGTTTTCATTTATTGTCTGTGGTTTATGAGAGTGCTACAAATTGAAATAATATTTGTAACGGCTTAAAACGCGAAATTAGTTAAGTACTAGCTTTTTAACTTTCGTCATTTGACTTATAATAAAAATTGTTTATTTTTTTGCACACACGACCACAGCCGTGGTCACGGGGAGAGTCACGGCTGCTGCAAAGCATCCGAAACGTCGGGCCGAAGTTAAAAATCATTTTCAAATAAGTTTAAATATCATATCACGTTTTATACCGTTAAAGTGTTTTATTTAAATGTGTACTACTCGCGTAAACTATAGACAGTATTTAAAAGTAAATAAACAATTTACATTTTTTTTATAATGACGTAGATTACAAAGATACAGCGAAAGTGTTTTTGAAACGTATTTTTTGTTTAGTTTCGTCACAAACTAAACGCCACTCCAATTATTTTCTTCAGCTAACGTAATATGATTTTCTCGTTTCTCTCGCCTGTGAATACGACAAAAATTTAAAACTGATACTAAAAGTTTTTTGGTCGTGTTGTATAGCACTCTCAACTCGTTGGATTTTACTGAACACTAGTTATTTTAATCTTCTGTATTTTTTAAGCTTTCTCACGAGCAAGAAGTTGTGTAACAATAAAACAAAATATTTTGTGGGAGGAACACTTTGTCTCTCGAATTAGTTGCCATGTTGAATACATATAGTGTACAGCAGTGCAATCTTCATCACGTTAAATACCAATTTAAGTCTCGGATGCCAGTAGTTTAGGACATTTGGAGCGATCCTGATCGCGGAGTCTTTGTTGAAATAAATTGGATGCTATTATGCGACTTGAGAGAGCGCCATTGGCTTGAGTCTTTGAGTTGTGCTTCGATATTGCGTGAAATGGTGAGGAAGTAACGTGATGAAATCCTATTTTACCTATATTCCAAAACGTTATCATTTTAAAAGCTACCAGACACAGATGAAAAAACACTGGAAGGTTTGAAGGGGACCCAACGGGAGTTGGATAACCCTACATTCTTCGTAAAAGGGGGAATTGGAAAGGGTAAATTGGTTACCAAATAATGTTGACTGATCACCTAACCTTTCTTAATGATAAAACCGCGTACTACCAAATAACTACTAAAAAAATATAGATGATTAGTATTCAACTATTTAAGTTTCCTTGTAAAAGCCCAAACCAAAAAAGCTAGCTAAAAACTAAAACAAGACAGAGTAAATGTTGAAGGTGGGCAGTACTACAAACGAAGTCTAGCGCCGAGATGATTGATAGACTAGTACACTTGCTAAGTATATAGCTCGAACGCATTGTTAATATTTTATATTTACTACAGCCAGAGCCGTGGCATCGTACGGAGCTGAGTATCGCTCAAGAGGGAGGTCTAAGAGCATCCTGGCGCGTGTTACGTGTAGCTGTTCCGCCAGCGGAAAGTGGTGCATTGCGCGTGCGCTGCGAAGCTATCCTCCCAGTGGAACCACCAGTTATTCGAGAAACATCGACCGTAGTAACTCTCTTCTCCCGGACACAACTCTCCAAATACGTTTCTAATGGAGGTAAGAAGTGTGAAACCACTAATAAGACAATAATTATCTAAAAATTCTCCATTCACAGTGTTAATTACCATACTCGTCCAAAACGGCTTGGTTGATTTTAATGAAATTTTATATGCATATTCAGTAGGTCTCGAGAATCGGTTACTATATATCGCCGAGGTTTCCATCCATTTTTTTTCTATAATGTGGCATTTAAAAATACTTACAGCCATGAATTTTCACGCAACCCCATTTTTAAATAGTTGTTTTTTGAAAACTTTTCAATCATTTTTCAATTTTGATCGATTATACCTTGGTAAGTTATCCCCCTCAAACGTCTACCAGTGTCACTCGCCCTGTAAACAGCACTAAGTACGGACGACACCAAAGACAGTCTTACCAGATCCTTACATAGTAGAAATTCCCTAGAAGTAATTTATATGGCAAAGCAACGTTTGTTGGGGCAGCTAGTAGCATATAAATATATCTAATCATCACAATTATCTTTATAGCGAACCAAAATGCGGTTTCTTAAGCTAATTGATTTTATAATAGTATTTTTTTAGCTCTACTTAAAAATAGACTTATAAAAACCATAGACGCGAAGTATTTCCTTGTAGATACCTCGTCTATATCTTTTTAGTCCCATCGTATCTTTAAATTACACAGCGGATATGAAAGATTTGCCCCAAAATTACCGATGTTAAAATGTCATTGCTCCGCGCGGCAATAAGTAGAGTTAGGAAGTTTTCATTCTTTGAAGAATCATTCATCTGTCCATTCTTTCGGAGTGAACGTTTGATAGCCACTTAAAAAGTGCTTCAATTATAGGGCGGATGCGTATAGTTGCGCTTGTGCACGTTCCCCGGCCAACTTTTAGAGATAAGCGAAAGGGTGGCGCATTTATCCGACAAGTTTAATGACTTTTCCTTTGCACTGAAAAATGCTCATCCTAACTTATCTTGAAGTTAATGTCGTCTTTCTTTTTTAATACGTGTCGGCTTTCTCAGAGACACGAACAGAGGCTTTGACAAAAGCAGAGCGTAAAAATGAAGATAAGACAGTCTCATGTTTTTAAAACTATTTTCTATGTACTTAATAGTACACATTTAAATAAAACACCAACGGTTTGGAACGCGAAATACACTAGTTCTCAGTCTCCCCGCGAAGGCTGATGCAAAGGATCTAAAACGTCGCGCCGTAGTTAATTATTTGTAAACAAATTTAACTCATATATTTCGCGTATTAAACCGATAAAGTGTTTTATTTAAATGTGATTTGAGTCTTTTTATCTAGCTTCAATTTATGCAAGAAAATAAGACAACAAAAACGTAGTAATAGTTTGGGAACACCCAAATAAGTACTGATACTGTTAGCATTCGGCAAGTACTATGTGTGTTCACACTATGTTTGTTTCACTATTTCTTACCGCGATTCGATTCCAGGACGCTGTTTGCCATTCTTCCAACCGTTGAGTCACAGCGCCGGCTGTTGTACTATGTATAAGGATTTTTATTTGAAGTGAATATTCAATTACCTTTCGAAAGCAATTAAAAATGTTCATTTCCCCAAATTATATTACACAGGCCATGCGATGTACATGCCTGTGCGACTGGAAGCATTTAATTTGGATCCACTACGAAAATACTGACAAGCAAGTTAATGCAATTTTACTGTAATTTAACGGTATTCGTAAATTCTTATTACTAATTAAGGGCGGTTTTGTTTTAATTGAATAATTGTTAAGTGTGTAGGGTCACCGATGGGGCTACAAGGTTTTGAAGGATTTTAATATGCGAATCGTTCCAATAAGTCTATATTATTTATTTATTTAATTCTATATTGCAACAAACACAGAGTACATACAATGTTCCTTAAATAATATTCTTAATAATAAAACTTTTAAAGACAAATTGGAGTGCAATGGGCGGCCTTATTGCTTTAGAGCGATCGCTTCCAGGCGAACCTATATTATATTGTATGCGTGCTTCAAAAAGAAAAAGTTATGTTTTATCCTCTTGTCTTGTAACGGTAACATAGTAACTATAATTTTATTTCGTTTTCATTACAAACATGAGATAAACTGCAAAAACTAGTAGCCGGTATTTGTTACCAATCTATACTAATATTATAAAAAGGAAAGATTTGTATTTTTGAATGTAACGGATAAACTCAAAAAGTACTGGACCGATTTTAATAATTCTTTCTTCATTAGAAAGCTGAGTAACATAGGCTATATTTAGTACTTGATCATTACAGGCATCTATAGAAATCCTTACTAAAACCAACGCAAGGCGTAAGAAAATTATCCGTAAAATGTCTTTCTTCGCATACGCTGCGAAAAGTATTAATGATAGGACAAAAAAATGTTCGACAATATTATAGAATATATCAATATCTACAAAAAACATCACGAGAGCATATGTCTAATTATTTTAGTTACGTCGCTATAACTCCTTTTTTACATTTAACAAATTGATAGAAATGCCGATCAAAATCAGACTGTGTTATCCGTACCATTTATAAATTTTTATCCGAATAAATAATTTAATATTTAAGACTGTCTCAATACCTGATGATTACTTTTTTTAATTATTGAAATCGGACATTCCATTCAAAAGATATCACGAAGTTAAAATAAAAATGCATGCCGGCGGTGGCCGGCACGCCTCACATCGAGTATCTAATTCGACGATAGATGGGCAGTGGGCTCCTTACGCAGTGGGCGCGAACGACATTGAATATTTCGATTTTTTTTAACATTTTTATGCTTTACTTAAAAAGTTCTTTTCAAAGCTATGCTTATAATTTAAATATCTCTACCTATTATGTCTACCTGTGCGAAGCCGGGACGGGCCGCTAGTCTATATATATGTAGATAATAAAAAAATATTTGTTCTTGAAAAAATATTTATTAATAATCTTATCTATGAAGCCTAACGCGTTGACAAACAATTGTCGAATTTTAATATCTATGTGAGATTGTTATAAAAAAATAATTAAACAAATTCGAATTCATTTCACTTATCTAAGATTTATGATATTCTTTTGGCGTTTGTTTAAATATTTATAATCATAACGACCATTATCTGCGGCTATACAAATTTGATTAACAATTTTTTAAGTATTTTTAAAGCAAAATTAACTAAACCATAACTATTTGAATAGATTGATACATAACTACTATTTATATACGTTAAAGTACACATGGATGGGTGGTAAAAGAAATAGGTAAACATAATTTGTATGCAAAAGTAAATATTCATGCAATCAATATTATATTTACTGTCAGAGCTCATCTTTGCAATCCTTTGTTTCAGGTATAAACAAGAAGTATCAACTAAATCTCACAGTTGTAGTGCTATTGACTTTGAAAGTGTTATTTGGTGTGAGCTTATGAGGCTAAGTTAGATAATTGTGGTGATATTAGACTAAGTGTGTAGATACGATCGGCCTCAGCACCATTTTAGCTTAAGAGCTGCAATTCGAAATTTGGGTACATCTCGGAGATAAATAAAGTAGTTGAAGATAACTAATATTTTTAAACAAAGTATCAATTTGTAACAACGAATGTTATTGTTAGTAGGAAGTTGTTAACGCTATTTAAGCAGGATATAATTTGAAATAAAACACTTTCCGACCAACGATAACCACTTTCCGGTCAGTTTCGGATGCTTTGCTACAGCCGTAGTCATGGAAGACTTCATCCTTTTAAATCGTTATAGTGTTTTATTTAAATGTGTACTGTTCGCGTAAGCTACAGACAGTAAGAATTACTTTGTTCGTCAAGGAGCAGGGTTTAAGGAAGTGCTCGGGAAGAATAGAGATCATTGAACATTACTGACTTACCTATAATTCTATATAGATTACAGTAAAAATTAAACGTGCCAAAAATAGTTGCAACTCTTAAGCTACAATGGCGGTAATTAAGTAAATAAACCTTCAATGTGTGTACTATTATAATGAATATGATTCACATGTGTACAGATTATAATTGTGTTGTTACCTAGCCATAAAATACATTACAAATTTATTTTTTGTACATTTCGAAAATTGTTTATAATGTATGTGTATAGTAAATAATTAGAACGTAATTACTATATAATAAAAACTTAACCCTGTCGCTAAGTTTTAGGAATACTTTATTATGTTTCTAGCCTCCTAGCGTAATTCACTAAAATCATTTCTCGTAAAAGGTACGCACCATAAACTTGCTACGTATATTAACTTGTAATTAAGATCTTCCTATTATATTGTAATTATGATAAACGTTTATTCCAAGTGTTATTTTAATCGTATGGAGCAACTTTAATAAAAGCGATTTTATAATTATGTTTATGTTCACTAATTTGATATTTAAAATTAGAAGTTTTTGTTAGATACAATTGTCTGTGTCAAACCACAATCAATCTATAGTTTATTCTCACGAACGAGTTATTATTTTATCTCTTACACCATCTCCAACAAATAACAGGAGCTCAAAACGGGAAGAAAATCTCACTTTTGGGGAAAAACAAAGCGTTGTCTTTTTCTCGCAAACTCCTACAAAGAACAAGGACGCAAGTTGGTCAGTGGGTGTCAATTTAACAAGGCCACAAGGAAGAATATTTAAATAGTATTCCTCTATGACAAACAGCTCGCGTGATGTCATGCGTGAGTTGAGTGGGAGTATTAAAAAAACTCGTTTCTGCTTACTTTCAAAGTGTCTTATTTATACCGAGTTAGTACCTACGTTGGCGGACTTGAATTATATAACTGCATCCAGAAATTAATGCCGACCGCCTCGGCTATAGAAACCTAGATTTATTTTCAACCATATTTCGTAATAATAGTTCTGTCACTGACCGCTATAACCGTCCATCATGGATTGTGCAATACCGCAACGGAAACGCCATTTTCTAGTACAATTTTTATTACTTTCTATTTAGCGAAATTATTATGACTAATAAATCTCTTAAAAACAGCAATTATTATAGTTAGAATGCCTCTCATATTTCTAAGAAATATCTGTGAATCTACGCCCATTATTAGCTAAAAAGATTGCATTAAATACCATTCTATTATGAACCATTATGTTTACACGGTGCTTGAAACAACAGATTACAGAATGGTTACATTGTTTTTTTTCCAAATCTTAGTATGTATTTACTTTTTCAAATATCCAACACGTTTGTATTTATAAGTAATTAATTATTAGTGTCTAATGTATGGCTGTGTTTCACTTAAGGTAACGTCAATTCTTTGCACGAAATCATCTCTTACACTCAAAGTATTGTACGGTAAAATCTTTATGATTTTGTATAATTTATTCTAAATGGAATACGTAAATAAATTATAATATGGTAATTCTGATTTTTATTGTTCGTACAGATTACATTATCGAGTCACATTGTTGTAATAAATTACTTTAATTTAAAGAAATTAAGGTACCAACTTAATGTTTGCAAGTTTCTACTGACATCACATAAGCACATTTTTGTGTCTGTTTTACTTCTTATTGTTACCAGACAAGTAGTTGTTCGACCTTTGGTTTTTTCACGGCTCGATATGAAGACATTTTGTACTTATTTATTATTCTGTCTTCTTTTTGTTTCTATTTTAAAGATCGTATTGTTTCTGTTTTTCTTTCATTCAAAATACTAAAGTTAAAAACATTTATTCACGTACACTTATGAACGTCACAACGTTAAAAACTAATGACTCTAAATTTACATTTACCACCAGTTCTCAAATCAAGGTCGTAGAACGAACAAGAAGAACTCGCAAGAAACTCGCCGCCACTCCTTTTATCTAGCCTTAGCCTATATCTGCTTTTATATAGATAAAGAATAATGATAATTATTCTGTTTTTGCGACGAACTGCGCACTATCTCTAGTCTAATGAGCCTCCCTCATGAATAATCTGACGAAATCGATTTTTCATTCATCGCCCATACATATTCAGTTCCGTCGCCTTAGCGGGCTTGAATCTCGATAATAGATTGCTTTGAATCGTTCCAGAGTCGATATCGCTAAAACTACAGAATACAAGTCAAATTAACTTTGATTTGACTCTACCCATAAAGTTTTTATATCGCTATCACAGCATCGTCATCTTTAGTGATCTTTGATTTTATTGGGATCAAGCGAGTTATTTTGAAGGATATAATGGTTTAAAACGCGATATATATAAGTTATATTATTTTTAATTCAACGACGGTCCGACATCGGGGAAGCTTTGCAGCAGACATGATCACGTAGGGACTGAAGATGGAGGTCCAGAATGTCAAAACAACTACGCTAGCGCCATCTGTGCTGTAATCGTTTGTATTTGGAGAAACGTCAGGCATAGGTAAATTACCTTCAAAAGTGTTTTATTTAAGTGTGTACCGAGTATGAATTTAAATGTCTACAAGAATATTTTTAAATATTCAATCATGGGAATAAAACAAGTTTGCAGATACATTTTAAAGCAGAAATTTTAGGCAAAAAGCACATTCACAATAAGAGCAACGGTTACTCCATTGTTGTAAATTATTTATGTTCTTGTATAAAAAAAACAATTTATTGCTTTCATCTTCCCTTTTCGAAGCAAACTTCCAAAAAAATATCTTGACACTCACCCTCTTAAAGCGCAAAGATTCCGGATGATTGTCGAAAATATTTCTATCCGGCCGAATGAATGCTTAAACTGTTGAGAAAGCTCATTAAAATAAAAAGCCCTCGCGGAGACGAAGTAATTTCGTCGCCCGGATCATATTATCTGTATTACTGATACAAATGATCCGAAGTTGCGCTGGGACGTGCCAAAATGGCTAAATTAAAACGAAGTACAGTTTGCTAGTTAAATTTTGGTGCGTATAAAAAAGCCGTTAAGTGCTAGGTTTTGCCTGGCTAGCCTCCAGCCTACAGCCTGCGCCTGTCAGCTCAACAATTTCCACGCTTGAAAAGCTAATGATCATAAAAAATGGTAAACCAGTAGTATTATGGTACAGATAATGTATTTTGTTGAGACAAAATGATTTAAGTTCCAAAAGTAGAAAATCATTTAATGGCTTGCTAGTAATCGTAACGTCAGGTTAAAAAACAAATATTTTTTTGGATATGAATCCGTTAAAATAATATTTTTTTAATAATATCCAAATGGGTTAAGTTCCCAGTCTATTAAAAGAATATCAAATATAATTGTTACTATACAAAAAAAAAACAACAGCTCATAAACGAACAGGTGTTTAACTCTTGTAATATACGTACGATAATATTGTTATTTCATCTGGAAACAAACACAATACAGATTTATTAAGTGTTTGTTTTAGTGAAAGAAGGGTTTATTTATAATAAATATTTATCTTATTCTTTCGTTTCTTCAAGTTAATAAATTTCGTGTTGTTGGGAGAGAAGAAAAACACTTACAAATACCCATGTATGTACCCAGTCATATAAAATCTAAACTCGATGGGCTGTCGGCCTATCTTGGTTTTGGATATTTAAAAACCCACATACTGAAGCAACGCAATGTAACTTGACGGCTTTTTCATCTTTGGACGGAATTCAAATATACACATTAAATATCCCGATTTCCAGACGTACTCCAATATGTTTCAAATCTCGAATACCCAAAGAATACTCGAATGAGAGTTATGAAAAACTAAATATTCTAGTTTTTAATCCACGGTTCGCGTGCCTTCTAGAAGAGGAATAAACGAGATAAAACGCGGGAAACATCTCGACAACAAATTACAAGTGAGAGGAGTTAAAGCGGAGCGGGCCACGCTTCAACTATAAAATATTTGCATCCAAACGAGGGCGGGGCAACAATAAGATGGAAATGCAAATCCTGCCTCCTAGTAATGCATACTAGCCTCTATACACAAATTATGAAAAAATAAATTTGAAAATTTATATGGAAATTGGAAATAGCCAGCGTTAAATATAGTACGGCAAATCTAGTTGGCCATGACTTGTCTAACTGATATTTTAAGTAAGTGGCACCAGAAACTTGTAAAGCAGTTGCACTTTTAATAATACATTTAACAATTACAAGAAGGAATTATGAACTACATTTGAAATAAAACTAAAATATAAATACAGAAACAAATAATAAACAGAAACGAAATATATTTGTTAACTTATTTTTAATTTATTTTAAGTAAGGCCCGACATTTCAGATGCTTTGCAGCAGTCGTGACCGTAGACCGTTTTCCGTTTCGCATGCGGACGTCGGGTCTTAGTTAAAAGAAAAATCACAAACATCCGAAAACGTAAATAGCAAACAATAATTGTCAGTAGTTTACGCGAATACTTTTAACGGTTTAAAATGCAAAATATATTAGTGAACTTATTTTTAATTTATTTTCACTAACGCCCGACGTTGCGGATGCTTTACAGCAGTCGTGGTCGCGAGAGGCGAACTAATTTATT